GCTCAAGGGTAGTAAATCTGACACTGCAGACTTCCTGGCACAGAGGCTTCAATTGAACATGCATGCACAATCTGTCCAATTTGGCCTGAAAACATAGGATTTACTGAGCTGGGTGTTACGCAGCCATGGTGCATATGGGCTGTGAATGTGTCTAAGATTTCCAGTTGCACAGCAGCCAGTCAGAGCTGCTGTGAATGCACAATAAGGTTTCAGTTGTTGGACCTATAGACACACAGAAATCCCAGGAGAGGATCCTGAAAAATTTGCCCTGATAAAATTCTGGTCTGAAAGAAAGCAAGCATTGCCAAGAAGACCTGGCTTTCAGCAGTTCTTAATTAAAAACAAAAACAAAAAAACCCCAAAAAAATCATCATGCCTCCCAGTCTTTCTGAGGGACTCCTGAGCTGGGGTGCAGCAGAAGGTTCCCTGACATGTTATCAGCTACCCCCCATAAGCTGCTTCCCAGCTCCCAGTAGGATGTGAATTATGCAGATTTTGGCACGGGGCGGGGGTGGTGGTGGTGGAGCTGGCCGTCCCAGACACATACTCTTTGTACACTTGCAGCTCACCACAGTCTAAATACAGAATGGGCAATGCAGGTTTCCATTTGCGCCCCCCCCCCCTTTTTTTTTGGTGATGCACACTACGGTGGGTCTCTAATGAGCATAACTTCATGTAGTACTGTCGTGTTGAAGATAAGCATGAAAAGAAAAGCTTTTTCTATCTGTAACTCTGTTAGTCACTCTTGGTGGGCAGAGATGGGAAGGACATGTATGTCTTGTTTAAAATATGGAACCCAAATATGCAATGCTATGTTGAAGACATTATATGTGACTAACTTTAACTGAGGCATCACATGGCTGGATAAATGCAGTACAGGAATCTAAGCAGCTGTGTAAATAAATCACTTGTGAAGAGGAAAAAGTGCTTGAACTTGCTGAATACTTCCGTTAAAGTGTGTCAATGAAAGCAAACCTGCTGGGGAAAATAGCACTGTGTTTTGAGGTAAGAAAGGGATAAAGGAGCCTTTTCAAACAACAGGTTTCAAGGATGGTCAGTTGTGTCCTGATCTCAAAGGCTCAGTTGCATTGGCTGGCTGATGCTTTTGGCTGATGCCAGATTACAAGGTGTCGTAGATAACGATATCCATTTACATTATCAGGTAGGGGCTGCCACCTATTGAAGTAAAGCAAGGCAGAAAATGCAGAGTTGCTCTAGTACGAGTCACTGGGTGCAGTATTTCTCCCCTTCCCTTGGCTCTTCCTCTATGAGGGCTCTTACTCGCTCCAAGTATGTGTTTTCAAAAATCACCTCTTTCAACCTCCCATCTGTATAAAAGGAAAGAGTTGACTAAAAATAGCCATCTCTGTAAAACCACTAAAGCGATCCTTTTTTTTCTTAGAACAGGAGAGAAACATTCATCTATTATTAGAAAGATGCTTCTCTATTATGAGATCAACAATTCTGGTTTCTTCCTTTATTTTAAGAATAGGATCTGCAGGAGGAAAAATGCACTAGCAGTGTGAATTCAGTAACACTTACAAACAAACTCTCTTGGCTACTTGATGCGGTGTGTCATTGTCTGTACAAAAACTCAAACAACCAAAATTAATGCAAGAGGTGCTTTTGCCCTTTTAAACGCAAAACCTGAAAAGGTGACAGAAATGAGGGCTCTGTGCTCATCTGCACTACGTTCTGTAATAATCAGGTCTATGTAGCCAATTAATTGTCCATCCTTCAGTTATATTTGTGGGAATACTCGATTTTTTAAACAAAACATAAAACACTTAATTCAGATGAATACTGCTTCTATTCCCACAGCATCGTTTTCAACTGAGACTTGTAATATGCAGTTTTTTTTTTTTTAAGAAAAAGAAGGTTCTGCAAAAAGTCTTACTTCACTGCTTTCTCAGTAAGTTAAATGTCCCTGCTGCCTATAGATCGTGGACATTTGGTCTTGGCAGGTGGCGTTTCTGTGGCGAAAGTGCCACAGAACAAAGTGTATGAACAGAGGGAGCTGTCTGGTTTACTAGGCATGGGGATCAGCAGCATCTGTGTCAGGTTCAGTGGAAGGAAATAATACAAAGACAGGGCGACCTGTTGGTCTGTTGGAAACACAAAACCAGCTTGATCATAGCCAGAGGATTTGTAGAGGAAGTTGGGACTACAGCTCCCCTTCCTAAAACTTCTAGGTTTTGTAGAGAGGTTTTTGGTTTGGTTTTTATTGTGTGAGATGCCACATCTGGAGAAGGAAGCTTGCTGGGTGAGGACAACAGGGCTGCAAAGGCAGAGGACTGGATGGAGGACTGGAACGGGATGAGGAGAAGTTCTGACAAATTTGGAAAGACTTGAGGTTGGGGGTACTCCATCTGAACTGAAAGGACTGGTATATCTTGGTAAAAAGGGTCTTACTGATGGGAAGTCTGGGAATGCAGCACAAGCCAGGAAAGCAGCAGACAGGTTGGGGCAATGTAAAAGCCCCGTGGCTGGGCTGGCTGTTACCGCTGCTTGCATGCCTTTTCTGATGTGGAAGGCTTGAGTCTCCTCTCGCTCAGGCCAAACGGTGATGTCTGTGCCTGCTGCTCTTCACTTGGAGATATATTATTATTTTCCTCACAAAATGACAAAATCATGTTTATTACCAGCTATACAGGGGTGTAATCTATCTGCAGTTTTACCTGTTACATTCTGGCAGGTTACTTGCCTTTGTTGTGATTGAATGTACTATTATTTCCTGCATCTGACTTTTTGCAAGATTAGGGGGATGTTTTAGGGGTTTTCTTCATGTAGGAAACACCAACGTCTACTTTTTTTTTTGCTAAATTTTCACTAAAAACATTAAGGGTATGAAAACAGGAACCGAATGCAAGTGCCGTTTGCCGGTGGGCTGTTAATCGTTTTTCGTAGCAGTAATATTTTAGGTGTCCACCAGAGGTCACAGCTTTACTGCGAACGCAGCATTACGTTTGACTGAGGCACGTTTGGTCGTGTGCTAAAGCTGCCAGCGAAAAAAACATACGGTTTGCAGGCGAGCCTTTTCATGCTATGAAAAGCACGGGTAAGTGGCACTGGCGTTATACCACTGCTGTCAAATATAACGGCAAAATCCGCTTATTCATGCCTGAGTACTGTTGCCATGTGCTGTTCCCACCCCGATCTACAGGATGGCTTCAAGCACACAACAGTGGATCCACCAGAGGTCTGGCGCTTACCCATTTTCCATGAAATGCATAGATTATACTGAGCTGCATTTACAGAAGTGAATTTTGTTGTTCAGTATTTGGCACATAAGCATATTGAGGACACTTAAGTACACCTAAGTGTGCTCAAGTGTCCTGTGGCAGTGGAGGGTGTAACTTCCACTTTCAGATGGAACCATTCAGCACCCTCACTCCGGTGTTCATGGCCAGGAATGCTGAAAAACAAAAAGAATGCCTAATTTTTTTTTTTTTCCTTTTCCTTCATCAATGAATTAAAAACATGGGAGGAAAAGACCAAGAAAGCAAGGAGTGGAGCCCGACCTCCCCTTCAGTTTGCTTTAGGCATCAAAGGTATCATGTCTGCGGAGCTGACGCCTTCAAAACGGGGACTGGACCTGGGGCAGGCACAGCTCTCCTTCCTGCACCTCCTCTTCTGCATTGGAGGCCTGGTGTTGATGCCGTGGTTCGAAATAAGCTGGATCAGGTGTCTGGTAATGCTTCGTGGCCTTCAACACCATCTGTGCTAGGAGACCCAGGAATAACGGAGCAAATGGAAAAGTGTGATGACACGAAGCCCTAACTCCAGGGTGCTGCGTCGTTAAGCTGACACTGGAAGCTTGCATGTAAAAGGATTAATGTGTCAATATGGTTCCATACATCAGTTTATTGTTTAGGTACTTATATATGTTATACTACTACATATGCACTGTTATCCACTATGAGTTACTTTGGCCTACTAATTTCGATCCATTTTAAGTAACTTTCATTTCCACTGTGATGGGAAACTCATTGAAGTCATAGTTAAATTCAGCATCTTTCAAAGCTCTGAGTCAGTCCTGGATTTTCCACCTATTTCATCGTGCACTGAAAATGTAGTACATCAGAAACAGGCCCTTCAATACTTCTAAGAGATGTACCATTCAGTGTGTCTAACCCAATTTCATAAGAAAACCTAAAGCTGCCATTTACCACTCAAGCTATTCTTCCGCATTTCTCCCCAGTTATGTATTTAGAGAAAAAAAAAGAGGCAGATGTATGAAGCATTTTTACCTTTTGAGAATGAATGGTACACGCTGTGTACACTACACTCCTTCCAACAAGTGGAGACAATTGCCATTTCACGAATACAGACCGGGAGATAATTTTCTGAAAACTTCTCACATATTTTTTAAAGAAAACAAACTAAGAATTTATGCCCTGCTCAAGCAAATTCAGTGTGCCAGGTCACTGGCATGGGTTCACAAGTCAAGAATGCCTTTGCACGCTAGTAGGGTGAAAAAGATCGTTAGGCTTGAGAATTGGCGGTTACAACAGAGCTGTCTCCCCAGTCCTGAGAGCTCTGTAGATACCGCCCGAGGAATGTTCTCAGAGAGGTCGGATGTATCTGGCAGATCCTGCTGTTGTCATCCGTCTAAAATGGAAGCTCACCAAGAGATTACTGCAAGGTCCAATGCTGTCGCCTGTAGTAATGCCCGGGACACTAACTAGAAACAACTGGAAGCAGAAACACAGCAAGCCATTGAAGTGGCTCGGTTTGAGGAGCACTTCTGAAATTATGGTGCTCAAAGAGGCTGAACCTACCGAGCAGGCAGCGTATACCATACACAGAGTCACAGACGAGCCGTGGTTGATCTAGGACTCCCAGAGAAGTACTGGAAAGGACGTTCCCGGGGTCTGGGTTCAAACTCATTTGGAAGGGGACGATGTGACGGGAGGCGAGGGAGCAGCGAGGGTGGCAGGTTGCAGAGACCGCTCTCTGCAGCAACCTGCTGGACTCGCTCCGGCGCCGGTTTGCAATAGTCAGGGGTCTGCCTCAAGGTGGCTCTCCACAACCTCTATTAAATGACTTGGTGCTGGTCGGAAGTGGTTACTCGGTGGACAAGTAGTAACTGGCAGCCTAAACTGAGATGTCAGAGATTGAAAGGACTTGGAAAGTGATTTGTCCTTTGGTATTTAGACCGTACTCATTCACAGTGGGAAAATTTGTTTTACTTTTGCTTGGTTTGCTGACAAACAGGTTCAGATCTGAGTTCAGCAATCATACACATTTCACACTGAATTAATTTTAAAGGATACACTCGAGCTCAGGTTACTATCCAAATTAGGTCTACTTTTAGTAAAGCTCAGCTGAAAAAAATTCCTATTTGCTGGAGAAAAAAAAAATTAAAATGATAGGTTCATAGGACAATCAGCCCAGAAGGGACCGCAGGAGGTCTCCTGCTTGTAGCAGGGTCACCAGGGAACTCAGGCCAGGTCTCTCAGGGCTTTGTCCCACTGGGGCTTGCAGCCCTGCAAGGAGGGAGCCTGCACAGCCTCCCTGGGCAGCCTGCTCCACTGCTTGACTGTCCGCGGGGGAAAAGGGTTTTCCTTTACATCCCATCTGAACCTCTCGATTCAACTCGTGCCCATTGTCTCGTCTCCCCACTAGGCATTGCTGTGAAGACCCTGGCCCTGTCTTCTCAATGACAGCCCCACAGGTTTTGGGGGGCTGCTGTTTGGTGCCCCCCGAACTGCGCCTTCCCCAGGCTGAACCAGCCCTGGTCCCTCAGCCTGCATGGTGGGACAGTGCTGCAGCCCTGGACACCTCGGTGCCCTCATCTGAACTTCCTCCAGTTTACTGATGTGTTTCATGTACTGTGGGTGCCAAAACTGGACAAACTACATAGCTGTTGTCTCATGAGTGCTGAGCAGAGGGGGATCATCACCTCCCTCGACCCACTGGCCATGCTCCTGTTCATACAGCCCAGGACACGGTGGGCCTTCATTGCAGCCAGCATCCCTGCTGGCCATGCCCAGCTCGCTGCCCACCACGGCCCCAGGGGCTTCTCCACAGAGCTGCTCCCCAGCCTGGGTTGCTGCACGGGCCGTCCCTTCCCCGGAGCAGGGCTTGGCCTCTGCATTTGCTGAAATCATACCGATAAAACCTTTTTTCTCTCT